ACTTAGAAGTCAGGGGTGAACTATCACAATATAGTATAAAATTCCACTCATGAGACTTTTACTTTCCTTGTAATTCATAGCCTGATTCTTTCTTATAAACCTCTGAAAAGGGTCATGAATAGAATGTTATATGAGCAACTGAAAAAGTATTGTTTACCTATTAGCAATTTGAAAATTATAAGTTGACACTTCAATTAATTTAGAGTAAGATTTTTAAAATGTGGATACTGATGTAAAATCATACATGAAAATATTATATCCAGACATATAATTTATCTTTTAAATTTATATATATACTAGAAATACTTTCATAAATTCATTTTAGAGCAATAAACTGAATGACATTTACTTGATATTATTTCTAAACTATTAATATCAAGTAGAATTTATATCTTTATCAGGCCAAAAAGTAATTTAACTCCCTAAATCAGTTTTTAATTACATAATACTGAACAATTTTGTATTTTGTACACAAGAGACAAATCATATTAGCATCGCAATTTGTTTGAAAATAAATAAATTATGAATGTAATTAAACCCTAATGAAATACAATAAGCAGTTATTGAAGAAGCAGTTATTACTCTGCACATCAACACTGGATAAGAACTAAACTTTATAGGGTTACGCATTAATCCTTTTTATTTCAAAGAAACACATTTCTATTGGTGCATATTGTAGTACAGAATAACGAGATTCATTGTGGTATATTGATACATGCACGTAGCATATTTTGATTATTTTTACACGCTCATTACCTCCCTGACACCTCCCTTTTCCCCTCTGCAAGACTACCTTCTAGAAAGAAACACAGTTCAACATTAAGTCTCTTTTATTTTTTAAACAAATTCACACAATAAACCTCTTCAAAACACTAGTGGAACTAATGTGCTTCCAGTTCTCTAAGGGAAGACTGGGCAACATCTTCATCAGTCTTAATTAGGATGCAATGATGTGAGAAAAACAGAGAATTCAACTACATTATAACCCTTCTGTTGTTCTGTATAACACAACAAGGGAACTTGAGAGGCATTTGCTTTTTTACTGTACTTCACATATCATGCTATTCACCCTTTCAAGTGTACATTTCAAGCAAGGCGTGGTGGCACATGCTTGTAATCCCAGCACTCTGGGAGGCCAAAGCAGAAAGTTTACAAGTCCAAGAATAGCCTGGGCAACTGAGTAAATCAGTGAGACTGATTTCAAAGTAAAACTGAAAAGAGGCACGGTGGCACAGCGCTGTCATTCCAGCACTTGCGAGGCTGAGGCAGGAGGAGAGACACAGTGTGGACACAGTGTGGCCTACATAGCGAGTTTATGGCCAGCCTGAACTACATGGCAAGACCCTGTCTCAAAAACAAAAAGGGCTGGGGATGTATGTAGCCAGAGGGAAGGCCTACGTTCAGTTCCCAGCACTGAAAAAAATAAGTCTACATTTAAATGATTTTTTAGTTTATTTACAAGATTGTACCATTATCACCACCAAGAGATTCCAAGAAAATTTAATCACCCCATAAAGAAACTCCATGTCAATTCCGATTCCCTAAGAACTCCTGCTCTCATAACCACAAATCATTTTGTCTATATGAGTTTTTCTATTTTTAGCATTTCATATAAATGGACTGACACAATGTATGCTCTTTTGTATGCTGCTTATTTTACTTAGCATACTATTTTCCAGGGCAGTCCATGTACAGCATGCTGTGATAGTTAACTGATTATGTCAATTTGAGTAAGAAACATCCACCTAATAGATCCTCATAGTGTGGTTCTGTAGTGGCCAAAGGGATGTACTGGAGGCAGAAGACCCGGCCTGGGTGTGAGTGGCACCCATCAGTAGGCTTGTCAGTGGAATGGAATAAAGGGAAATGAAGAAGGAGGGCTTACTTCTGTTTCTTTGGAGGAGCTCGAATCTTCCTCACCTTCACCTCGGAAGCTGCTTCCTGGCTTCCAGTGTAGACTCTCGGGCTTCCTGATATGAACTCCCACGGGACTTGACAGTGACCTCCAGGCCTCTGACCTCTGATCAGACCCTCGGATCTCCAGCGCAGACAGCCCTTTCACTCCCAACCCGACTCTGCGGCGGCCACTGTAGGTCTCTGCTATAAACCCTTATATATCTACCCATTGTGGATTGTTTGTTCTTTGCAAAGTAGATTGTTTTACTTTTTAGTTATTGTGGATGATACCGCTGTAAATATTTGTGCACAGGTTTCTGTGAGGACATTTGTCTGTGGTTCTTCTGGGTATAGTCTGAGGAGTTGAACTGCTGACTCATATAGTGACTCTATCATTAATATTTTTGGGGAACTTCCTAATTTTTCCAAAGTGACTATACCATTTTATAATTCCATTGGCAGTATATGAGGATTCCTCTTTCTTTCTTTATATATTCTTCAGTAAGTCTCATTTTCTGTTTTGGTTTTTTTGTTGTTGTTTTTCTTTTTTACAGTTGTCTCAGTAGGTACAAAGTGGCAATTCATTGTCAATCACTGTGGATTTGATTTGCATTTCCTTAATGACCAGTGAGGACATCATGTGCTTACTGACTACTTGCACAGCTCCTTTGAAGAAATGTTTGTCCTAATTGGGTTTAGTGATGCACACAGGAATCTCAGCGCTTAAGAGGCAGAGGCAACAGAATGGTTGCAAGTTTGAGGTCACCATGGACTACACAGAGTTCAAGGCCAGCCTGAATGAACTCTATAAGGAGGCCCTGTCTCAAAGGAAGAAAAAGAAAGAAAGAAAGAAAGAAAGAAAGAAAGAAAGAAAGAAAGAAAGAGAGAAAGAAAGAGAGAAAGAGAAAGAATTGTCTAAATTCTTTATCTTTTTAAAAAACTGGGTTGTTTTTCTTTTTGGTATTGTAACATTTTTAAATACATTCTGGATATTAAATCTTTAATCTCCAGATTTCTGAAGAAATTGACTCTGATCATTTTTCGCCAGCTCTCTCATTGATTTTATGAAGGAGAAGGTCATCTAAAACCTTTACTCCACCATTTGCCCGACAACTCTTCCTATGTATTATTTTTGACATTTGCTCAACATCATGAACACCTTTAATGTACATACCAAGAGAATGAAGACGACTCCTGCATTATAATTACATCATGCACAAGTTACAGACACATATATCCTCACAACTCAACAACGAAAAGAAAAGCAATGCAATTTAAAAAAAAAAAAAAACAGGAAAGAACGTCAACAGAAAGAGATTGAGTCTGCTTGGGTTGGTGCTTGGAAATAATGACTCACGGATCTGTTCTTAGCACACACTCCTCAGGGCGCATATAATGTCGTGGTGAGACGTGAAGCAGCAGAAGCTGCCATCTGAATGTTTGCAGTGTTGCATAAGAGCAAGGCGTCCTGCACAACAAACAGGCTTTCAAGTCTGCAGGGTACGTTCCTTTGCTGGAGGTGATTTCATCGTAGCTTGCAGTCTCGGCTCCTATTGAAATAAAGCAAAATGAAGCTTTTCCATTGGTTTCCAAATACAATTAATCACTTCTTCACTAGTGTCCTTTTATGACAGTACTTACAACAGTGTGTCGTACTTATTTGTTTTCATGTCTCTCCCTCCAGGTTGAACTTCTTAATAGGGAAAGGCCTTAATCCTAATTAGCCTTGTACAATGTCCCAAAAAGTCATAGGAATGCAAAAGACATTTGTTGAATTATTTTGAAATTCTAGCCACAGCACTGTTTCTTTCTGTACTTTCCCTCTTCACATATCTATATATCTACATATCTATGTATCCATATATCTAAACAGGATTTTTTCTTTTGGTTGTAAGAATAATTCTGTTCACTACCACTAAGAGAAAGGCCAAAAAGGAAAGGCCAGAAACCACCAAGTGTCAATGAAGTGTATGGAATAACAGAAATGTTCATTTATCGCCGGAAGCAGTAAGAGCGGTACACTCATTTTGGAAAACTGTAGACAATATCTATTAAGACTGGGTCTTTCTTATCCTCTGACCCAGCAATTTCACTTCTTGAATACGTTCAACATAAATGAATGCACATGCTCACCAAGAGGCATCTTTTCACCAAGAGTAGCACTGTTCATAACTACTCCTAACTAGAAAATACACAAATATGCATTAACAATAGAAAAACTTATTTTGTACCGTCACACAGAGCAAGGGAAAAGAATCTAAATTCAACAATATGAAGAAATTTTATGAAATTAACGTTGAGAAGAGTCAAGTTCTTTTTTAACCAGAAACTTCTTACTCTAGGATTATTTAAATATAAAGCATAAAAACAGGCAAAACTACTATACTATTGGACACTGAAAGGGAATAATAGAGGGAGCTTCTGGGATGTTGATAAAGTTCTGTGTGTTGATCTGGCCCGACCCATTGTCTGAGTCTTCTGTTTATTACAGTTAAACAGGTTTGGTTTTGTTTTCTTTATTTTGCAGTATTGGGGATTTGAACTCAGGGCCTTGGCACTCTAATATGCTCCCAGCTCCTCTAACTATTTTTCTATTTTGAGATGGGATCTTACAAAATCACCCACGGTGGGTTTGAACTCGGCAATACCTCCGCCTCAGCCTCCCAGAACATTGGGATGACAGGTGTGCACCACCACACCCGGCTGCTTAAATGAGTTTTTAAAAAGAGTAATGCATCTTAATTTGGAAAATAGAGATATTTTTAAAAAGCGCTTAACCACCCACAATCCGACTGTGCAGCGATAACTACTGTTAGTATTTTGAATTATTTCTGTCCAGTCTTTTTTTGAAGTCAGTATTCTACGAATTCTGTACTTCTCTCCAGAAAGGTGTGCGGACTCCTTGTGCACTGCAGCCCCACATGGTTTGTTATCATTTCTGATTCGTTTTAAAACACTGGGGCTGAAAGGTGCGCCAAAGAGGCGCAAAATCCGGAATCTGTGAGCGCTCTGCCCAGCACGCCCCTGGGAGCCCAGGCGGGGCTCTCGGCCCGGCTCGCGCGCGCACCCGCGTCCCACCGCCTCCGCATCGCCCGGTTGCCGTGGGAACCGCAGAGCGCGACTGCGCGCGCAGACCTGCGGGTGTAGAGAGACTGAGGCCCAAGGATGGAGCTGCCGGATCCAGTACGCCAGCGGCTGGGAAACTTCAGCCGGACAGTGTTCCGCGACTCCAGCCGGACCGGGCCGGAGTACAATGGGGGTCCGGGTGAGTGGCCGAGGCCCGGCACCGAGTGCGTCCCGCGCGGGTGTTGGAGCGGCCTGATTTTTGCCCAGACAAAAAATGGCGGCGTCGCCTTCAAGCGGCCCACCGCATTGCGGAGAGCTCCTTGGTTGGGAGGAGGGGCCGGGGATAGAGCTGGGACCCCTTCGTCCCCTAATCCCAGCCTGGCCTGGTCCTGTGCCACCTGGCCAGCACCTTGCAAACGCAGCAGCTGAGATGACGCCAACCTTTGCGCCCTGTGAGGCCCACTGGTGCCTTAGAGACGACTCAGTCAGAATTACATGTTCTGTGCAGCACACCAGTCGGTGAAGGCCGATGTTAATTTTCCTGCGTCGCCCGTCCGAGCTTTCCCGACCAGGTCCCCATCCGGAGCCCTCATCCCCAACTCTGGTGAAACAGTCTTGCCTTTTCTTTTCCTTGCAGAAGTACGTTCCTCCTCAAGCCGTTTTCCAGCAGAAGAAATGAGGGAGAGTTTTTAAATGAGTCGTTGTACACTGCTATCCATCCAAGTGATGCCTGCCAAACTACCCCTTCCCTGCCTCCTTTCCTCCCCTGTGTAAAACTCTTTCCTCTAATCTGGTAACAGAATTCCACTATGTAACGATGCTGCATCCAACATGAAGGATAGGTGATGACGCAGTTTGGTAGAAAGCAGTTTCTGCCTCCTGAATGATGAGCCGGCGCACTGTCAACCAGACTAGTGTGGTTCTCGGCATTGACCTTCAGTGGTGGAATAGAAACCGTTTCCTCCGCCTGTTTTTAAGGATTTTAAGGGGGTGCAAAGTCAATTGCTGTAATTGCAGTTTGTCACCTTGATCATTTGCCTAATCCCTAAAGCCTTTTTAAAATTTAGAATGTTCAGAGTAAAACATGAAAAACTGGGTTTCTGAGAGTGAGACTTAACAGGCACTAAAATCTTATGAAGCAAAGTATTAGGAATCAGCAGACCTGTACTGGAAAAGACTGCATAATAAATATTCTAGGCTTTGGGCAGCTATAGACAGTGGTCGTTTCGTGGGCATGGGTGTGTACAAATAAAATTTTATGGACCCTAAAATCTGATTTTCACATAGTTTTCACATATCACAGAATATTATTTCTTAACACAAGAGGGGCCAGGGATTTAGCTTAGCGGCAAAAGCACCTGTCTGGCAAGCGCAAGGTTGTACATTCAATCCGAGGTACCAAAAAAAAAAAATTTTAAACACAAGAAAAACATTTTTAGTTCACCAACTGTACAAAAATAGACAGTTGGCCTTTTATATTATATAATGTTTTAAGTTCTGTTTATAGGATTCAACTGGAACTTCTGCAAAATGTAATGAATTTATACCTTCAGGTTTCACATATATTGATTTTTGATTGCATGATTAAAATTTAATCTGCTGAAATAGTGCACATGGTCCAATTTTATCATGTTATATATATAACATATATATAAAAAATTTCTAACATTGAAAAGTGATCTTTGCAAAGTTTCGAATATAGTTTTTACTCCACAGGTAATAAAATTTTCAGTTTAATCAATTTATTAGTTTCCCACATTTTCATCTTTGTTGATATGAAATAGTAATAATTACTTATACTGTAAAAAACAAGTTAACTTTCGTGTTCATAGCTGACCAAGAATTATACTGTCATGGAAAAAGTGCTAGGCTGATGAATCGTCTTCAGATTTAATAGATTTTAAGACTGTCTTTTATTAGTGTCAATTTAATAAATTGGTCTGAGCAAAAGATCATAATAATCAGACATATTCTTGGAGCTAAAGGAAATCATTTTTCTGTAAGAGACCATGATTCTTTCTCACATTTCAAATTTATTAAATGACAGGTTAAAATATTCGACTGTGGAGAAAAAGAAAAATAAATGTTTTAAAGAAATTTATATTGGGACCTTTGTAAAATCTTAAATTTAGAGCAGTTGATTTCAAATATATATATATATATATATGCTCTTAAGGATTCAAATTTAGAATGTGTTCAATTCAAAAGATCAAATTTTAATCTAGGCCTCTTTTACATAAAAGCAAAAGACGTGATCAACCTTAGATAAATGAAACTCACTATTATAAATGGCTGTACTATTGATATCCTTGTGACAGTATGCTTTCATCAATTCATTCTTTCTTCTTATTTGTAGTTGATGTTCACAATGTGTAAGGCAGGATGTTAGGTTCTATGAGGGTCTCAAAACTGGGTTGGACATGGTTTTTGTTTCCAGTGAGATTGTACCTGAGGTATGATCAAAAAGTATGGTCAGTGTTTAAATTGTTTTAAGTTATTACAGTAAAAGACATTGCTGTTCATCTTCTTCAAAATACTCCCCACTGCTTCAAACACTTCTTGCTACTTTCTAAAGCAGTTCTGCAAGTCCTCTTGCATGTGTGCTTCTAGTTGCATTGTTGTGGCTCCTCAGTGTCCTAAATCAGTTCAAAAACATCTTTACATGGTCATTTTGTAGAAGAGACCAAAGTCACACAGTGCAAATAAGGTAGATGAGGCGCTTGATACTTTTCAGGTTTTTTGAGGGGAGGAGTCAGGGGGTTGAGACAAGTCTCACTATACAGTTCATGCTGGCCTTGAACTCATCATATAGCCCAAACTGACCTTAAATTTGTGATTCTGCCTTAGCCTTAAGTGCTAGGATGACAGGCATGTACCACCTTGCCTGGCTACCATGGTATTTTTGGTTGACAGAAACTGCCTTAAATAGTTGATCAGCTCAGTGTGATAAAAAAAAATGGTGAATGTCTAAATCAAAAACTTACTACAGTAAAAGACACGTTGCCAAGAATGATGGTATAAGTGTGTCTGAAGCAAGGGGAAGCACTCTGAGGGGATTCGCAGCAATGTGTCTTTTAGCATAATAAGTTCCTAATTTAAACACTGACCACAGTTTTCAATCACTCTTTATATATGTGTAAGAGGAGGAAAGGGCACTATTTGTTGAATGCCTACCAAGTGTGCTAAGCATGGTGCTAGGATGAAATAATTTGGGTTACTGCTAATCTTCACAGGCAGCCTGTGAGGTAGTTGTAATGTTAACATTTACTAATAGTGAAATGAAGGCTCAAACAGGTTAAATAACTTATTTCAAATCTGGAATCCAGGACTGTAGAGTTCTTGGTCTCTGCAGTGTACCAGACTGTGTGATGTGCGGGGAGTTCTTTGCCAGAAATTCAAAAAGAGATTTCTGCCAGGTTGGAGGGAATATGATTGAGGAAGGATTTATAGAAAATCAGGCATTGGATGGGATATTACAGAATGGGTAGGTTAGGGTATAGTGAAAGAAAGGAATGTATTTATATTTGAGATTAATTTTTATATGAGGGTATGAAATATTTTTATCTTATGCATTTATTTTATAGAATCTTTACATAAAATTCTACAAAGGAAACAATGATAATTACTGTCTGTTCAACAGGATTCATCTTGCTAACTCACATTTAATTTCTACAAGTAGTGTGCAGAAAAATCAGCAGACTATCATGGCAAAGTAATAAAGTAATTGAAGAATATGAAACATATCCCCAGGTAATCATTATTGGGACTAAATGGTATTAGGATGAAAATTCTTTTTACTGTCAATAATTACAAAATTATATATGAACCAATAATAGTCATTAATTCTCAAACATGAAAGAATTTGAAGAACTTCAACCAAAATTAAGAGATACAGCTCAGTGGCACAGTGTCTGCCTGGCAAGTGCAAAGTTGTGAGTTCAATTTCCAGTACAAAAAAAAAAATTAAGAGTTTATTCCTTTTCTGTTTGTTCTGTAGATAATGAGATGAGCTCCAGTTTGGTCCTGCAGATGTCACTTTATTTTAACACTTACTTTTTCCCACTTTGGTGGGTGGGCTCCATTATGATGCTTCATACGAAGGTAAGTCTGTGCTTTTATTACGGCCGTGGCCTCTTATGCCCTTCCCTAACATTGCTACATTATTAATAAAGTTAAGAGTCTTTAAAAATTGTTTTTCTTTTAAGGTCAGAGCTACTGAATGTAGGATTTTACAAACATAGTTTTTTTGTTTTTGTTTTTAGTATTCGTTCTTGCCTGACTACTACAAATTCATTGTGATCACTATCATCGTCCTCGTAACCCTCATTGAAGCTATCCGCCTGTACCTGGGCTACATGGGTAACCTGCAGGAAAAGGTAGGCTCTGCTTCCCTTCGTCTCGGTGCTACACGCAAACGCCTTTCCAGGCCAGTGTAAGGTAGTGAGCGGTGGAACAAGCAAAGGCTCTCTTAAGTCCTGGCTCCAAATGAACCACTCTGTCACTGTAATCTCTTTGCTTACTGTTTTGAGCCTCTGGTGCTTCATACAGAAACCATTAAACGGAGGAAAACAGTACTTACTACAAATGTTTGTTGAGATTCAGTGAAATGATTTAGATAAAGTACCTGAAGTGCTGATTGTTAAGCACTTCAGAATTGATAGTTTTCCCTCTTCTCATCAGCCTAGTCAATTAATAAGCAAAAGGAGAAATTATAAATTCACTTCCTATGCCAGACTCATGTCTTCTGAATCATGATGCTGCCTAAGCGTTTAAGGTGTTGGGATAATTCTGTGGTTGTCTAGGCCCTTTGTAATTAGACCACACCCAGCATATGGAACTATTTCCTGCCATTTCTTAACCCGGTCATCCACTCCAGACTGATGTGCTGATTCCCGGTCATGCTCCTTTCACTTGTTTATTTCCCTTCTTCCTATCCCTCCCTCTGCACAACTTTATAAAAGCCTCGATACATTCTTGAAGTTTTTCTTTCACCTACTCTAACACTCCCTTTTTTTTTGTACCACTTAGTTTATGCCTCTAAGTGTTGCATTTAATTCTTCACCAAACTATGCTATTATAGTACTGATTCACACAAAATTAATTTTCTTATCTACGCATATTTTCTAAGGGCAAGAGCCATGTCATACTCCTTTTGAAGTATAGACACCATACTATGGGTTAACAGCAGTACTGTTTATTTATATGCATAAACAGAAACTGTATTTACTGATCTCATTACTCTCTTTTGTTCAGATAGGATCAAAATCAGGGTGTCCCACGTGCCAGACAAGTATTTACCACCAGTCACACCCCAGCCCTGATTTCAATACTTTTACTGTGTGTCATTGCAGGTTCCTGAGCTGGCAGGCTTTTGGCTTTTGAGCCTTCTGCTGCAGTTGCCTTTAATTCTTTTCTTGCTGTTGAATGAAGGCCTAACAAATCTGCCCTTGGAAAAAGCAATGCATATCATCTTCACTAGCTTTCTTACTTTCCAAGTTATTTTAGCATTTTATACCTTGAAGAAAATGGTCAATCAGTTGGCAGCTCGTTTCCACCTCCAAGACTTTGACCGGCTCTCTGCAAATAGAGGAGACTCGAGAAGAGTGAGGTCATGTATAGAAGAGATTTAATCCAGTGCCACTGAGAGAAAATCAAAGATTTTAGAAGACTGTGAAAGTTAGGAAGCATCAGAGCTCTAGCATGAGAAAAAGGACAAAGCAAGTATTTCAAATTGTGTGCTTTCCAGCTCTGAAATTCCCAGGTTGAGGGCAGTGATAAAGCTTCATATTACTACATGAAAGCGGTATATTCACCCTAAAACCTACATGCTATCCACCTGAGGCTAAATTTCTTTTTTTATATATGTAGAGTTTTCCAGATATGTAGACATCCGTTATTGTGTTTTAGTGCAATATTTCTAGTTACAACTATAACTAGAAGTGGATGTATTTCTTTCTAAATTTGTTATTATCTTGGCTGTATATCTTACCATGCTTCTTCAAATACATAGAAATGCTAGTCCCAGGGGGTTTTAGCTCAATCATAGCAGAGTTGCCTAGCATGCACAAGGCCCTGTGTTCACTCCCCAGTGCTGCTAAAACAAAAGAAAAACAAATGCTAGTCAACATTTTTGTGTATTAGACTATATTCGTAACCAAAAAATCAAGTTTTCATGTCTGTTACGATTAAATTCTAACCCTAGGATTTGTTAGCTATTATACTGAGGTAAAGAAGACAGGTGTTTTTTGTTGTTGTTGCTGTATTTGTTTTTGGTGGGGGAGTGGTTTGAGACAGGGTCTCACTATGTAGTCCAGGCTGGACTTGGACTCGCAGTAGCCCAGACTGGCCTCGAGCTCATAGTGATCTCCCTCCCTCAGCCTCCCAAGTGCTGGTGATACAGATGTGTGCCACCATGCCCAGCCTTGACAGGTGGATTATCAGGATACTCAGAGAATACTTTTGTCATAAGAATTGTAACTTTTATAAAACAGTGTTCAGTATTTGTTGTGGTGATGTGCAAAATGTTTTCATGATGAATTATTTGTGTTAATAAAGTATTAGCAACAGATTATTCCTGTCATGTGCAGTTCTGTTGTCTTTTGTTGTACACAGTTGCAAGAAAAGGAAGGAGAAAAAAATACTATCAAGGCTTCTGTATAGCAGGCACTGTAATAGACACATTAAATTAATCCTTGTGAGTTCATCTGCTAGGTCATTGTTCACTGAAGAACTGCTGTATACCCGTTAGATTCACACAAGGCTTGATTTGAAAATCAGGGTCTATTAACAAAGTAAGGGCTGAAATAGTCAAAGGGACCAGATTCATGGTTCTAAATGAACAAGTTTCCTTCAAATATAAGTCTATATAAGGAACTGTGGTTTAAAAAAGTTGTTTGGCTATCTATGAACATTATTTTTAAGCAATTATTGGATTGATTTAAGAGACATAATATTTTTCGCTCAGGTTTTCTTTCCTATGGGGAAATATACCTTCATAAATAATGTATTGTTATGGCTTGTGGGTAGATGTCCCCCAAGGGCCTCGTGTGGGGCGCTGGAAGAAGATGTAGCTGCAGAGCTAAATGTGCTGTGAGGAGGCGGGCCTGGGCTGAAGGGTGGGGTGTCACAGGACTGCCACCCACAAGGTGGACCTCCTTCCCAGCACCTCCATTGTCTCAGTGTCCTGGCTGCTATGCGTGAGAGCTTCTCTCTACCTGGTCCTTCCACCGTGCTCTTCTGGGTTTAGGCCTGCAGAACATGCACTAAAACTTGTAAAACACGAGGCAAAATAAATCTCTCCCCCTTAAGTTGCTAGTGTCAGGGATTCTGTCCCAGCAGTGTGGGGCGACTAAGGCTTGTATTTTACTGAGGAAATAGTTGTAACTACATTAAAAATTGTTGACGCTAGTTTTTGTTTTTCTGCAGTTCATGCTTAGTTTAGGATTTCCATGATTTACCTGCTCATTCTTATATCGCTTACTTTTTAAAAATGTCTTTTAGCTCTCATTCACTCTGGATTATACCTGACAAAAGTATGGCGCCACTTTTATTCTGCAGTGTGTGCGTCTAAAGGTTCTCTCTCCGCAGAGTGGCAGTTACATTCTCCTACACCAGAGTAGTCAGTAGGTGTACTGTCATGACTTAAAATTGAAAAGAGAATTCTCTGAATATTTTTTAAAGCTTCTATATTTGTTTGCCTTGTTTCCCAGGCATAAATAGGTAGGTGATTCGCTAAGATAATATAAAATTAATTGTACAATGTAGATAAACTAAGGGAGTGATCAAGAAAGACTTTTGTTTTCTTTTTGTGTTGGTTGTGGTACTGCAGATTGAACCCAGCGGCCTCACACTGAGCTGCCAACTTTTTTTTCTTTTTTTAAATACAGGATCTTACCAAGTTACTAAGTTGCCCAGGCTGGGTTTGAACTTTGAATCTTCCTGCCTCAGCCTCCCAGAGTGCTGGGTTTACAGGCACATACTATCACACACATTTTAGGATGATTTTTTAAAATTTCAACGTTGTCTCAAGAGTTTTATTTTAAATGGCAGAGCTTCAGATACATTTAAACTAATTTAGGAGTAAGAAGTTAATAGTGAAAATTTTAGTCATAGTCGTAGAAAAACTTTTGAGAAAATAGGTTTGATTTATTAAAATATTCCAATAATTTTGCCACAATAAACAACATATTTAAAATACAGACATAGTAAGATGGGAAAAAACTAAGTAAGTAGATTAGAACCATGACTAAATCGCTTGTTTTGGTTTGGTTTGGTTTGGTTTGGTTTGAGGGCGGGGGTTGCTATCAGGAATTGAACTTGTAACCTTGTACTTTGCAGGCAGGTGCTTATTCCACTAAGCTAAATCCCTGGCCCAAGTCATTTGTTTTTCATTTAAATAATGATAGTTTTTGTGGTAGACTGAACCAGCATTTTCTGTTGGAGTAGACCTGGTTCTCTGTGCAAGTGTTTCAAATCTAGGTATAAGAGATGATTACATGTCAGTCAGTGCATTTGGCGTACAGTCTTTATCTTGATTTTTATCTGAAAATGTTTGTTAATCCTTAATTCCTATATATTCTTTTTTCCAGAGTTTCACAACACTTCTCAGAATTTCTAGTTAAATGTTGAACTTTGCAAATATCTTACTCTTCACGTAGTTTTTCTTTTTCTCATCAGAGACAAGGTAGGTGTGAATTTCCAGAAAATAAAAGGACTTACACATGCTTGAAATTTGTTAATTTAACATACACTTGAGTGCTCGTCTAGTATGTGCGAGGAATTCTGGAGGGTCCAAAGACAGATTTCGCTCTCAGTCCTGGGGTGGGGTGGGGAAGGAGAGAAGTGTAACTTTATCAGGGAGGTGCTTTTGAGTGCACTCCAACAGAAAATGCTGGTTCAATGTACCACAAAAACTATGCTATTTAGATGAAAAACAAATGACTTGGTCATGGCCCTAATCTACTTCCTTAGTTTTTTCCCATCTTACTATGTCTGCATTTTAAATATGGCGTTTATCAGTGTTGAGCTTTTGAGTGCCTGACAGTGACCAGCCCTTCCCGTCCAGGACATCCCCCTTCTGTGCTCCCACATTTAGCGTCCAGCATTAGCTGCACACTGGCCTTTCACCAGCTCTGTTAGCGTTCACCGTGCTCCACACTGGAGGGGAGAGGTTGACTTTCAGATTAAATGCACTCACTCACTCCCATTTGCCTGAACAAACAAGAAGTTTACTGTGCGGTGGAAAGGGCGGAAGAGCCCATCACTGACCAGTCAGTGACCACTCTACCCCCGCCACACTGCGGTGGGCACTGTGGGACCACAGAGAGGGACATCTGAGTGAGTTAAGGAGTCTGAAGAGCTTCCCAGAGAAGGTGACACTCGGGACTTGAAGGGATGGGTTTTTAATTTCGTATTCAGAGGTACAAGTAGTGGTGACTACTGATTTAGGTGTTCGTAAGCAGTTTACTGATGGGGTAGAGCAAGAAATGGCCCAGAACAGGGAGAGTCTGGAAGGTGCTAATAAGCAAGGTAATGATTGAAGATTCTGAATCACTGAAGAGTTTAAACAGTGGAGTTTCACAAACAGATTTGGACTGTAAAAAGCTCTCTCTGTCTCTCTCTGTCAGTCTCCCCCTGCCCCGGCCCCCAGTGTGGAAAATGACCTGAAAGAGCTGGACTGGCGTAGATCAGGAGGGACTTAGGGTTAGGAGACAGCAAACTGGCCTGAATCGAGTGAGCAGCAGCAAAATAAACTTGAAAACAAAATAGAACCTACAAAGTTCTTTAATTAATGTCATATTTTAGAATGGGCATTTTTTCCTAATTTATTTCAGAGATTACTACAAGGATAAACATAATGATGTATTCATTGTTTTATTGCCCTCCATTATTACACTATTAGACATACATACAGCTTCATCTGAAAGTCTTTTTAAAGTTATACTTGACATAATCTACTTAAATGATTATTTGAATCAGTTAAGATTATGGCTTTAAAAAACTGAAATAGCACAAGATTTTGGAAGTAAAGAAAAATCATCTATAATTCTGCCAGCCAAAAATAGTAACTATTAGCAAATGTCGTGTTTCCTTGTGTAAAAGCTTTCTTCCCCCCAGTACTAGGGATTGAACCCCAGGCCTTTCAAATGCCCCCCCTACCTTTTTTTTTTTTTTTTTTTTTTAATTTTGAAACAGTCTTGTTAAATTGCCCAGACTGGGCTTGAATTTGTGATCTTCCTGCCCAGAGTGCTTGGATCATAGAAATGCTTTCTTAAAAACATAGTAGTGATCTTAGGCACTTAAAATTTTGCACCCTGTTTATCTAATAACATTATACATATTTACTCATGTTTCTATATAATCACATAACCATCATTTTAAATGACTGCACATTATTCTATTAAGTAGATGGATCCTAATCTATTTAATTTTTCTCCTATTTTTGAAATCTTTGCTTTCTTCTTTGGCATATGCATATGTATATTTCATTATAATGAGCATCTTATATATATAACATTTTACATATTTTGGGTTATTCTTTTTCATTGTAAGCCGGATTCTCAGAAATTAAATTGCCAAGACATAAGGTGTGAACATCTTTAAGGACACTTGATGTATATTACATCTACTTTCTGTTCACCATCCACAGTTCTAAAACTATTACAATGAAAGTTTTGACAAGGACAGATTTACAGACTTTAGTTAGCTATTGTCTTTGTATTATTGAGTACCTACCACAGGAACATTGAGTTTCCTGAGAAGGAAAAACAATCTCAAAGCTGTGAAAAGAGAAGTGCAAAGACTTAAGAAAAATAAATAAATAAAAAGGATTTTTGAATTAAGGAAAAACTGATAAGGGACAGGAAAAGGATTAGGCAAGCTGGTCGCAGTCTGCAACAGACAGTGAGATGTGACACAATAAAAACTGGGTCATTGAGTTGGGACAGCCCTAGGACATAAAGAGACTGAAATGAAGTAAAGCTCTGGATTACTTTGTTCTTGAATATTGAATTTTTTCAGAAGCATGGAGCATGAAATATTATCGTGATAAGCCAAGATTGGAAACATAGCCAAGAAAAAGAGGTCTTTAAGGGATTGTTTAAAACGTGCTGAAAGAATAATTTGGTTTGGTCTTAAACAGCTCAAAAAGTAAATTGACATAAAGCTTTTGCATAGCAAAATAGGTATAGAGGCAGAAAACAGTAAGGCAAACAAAATAGTTTACCGAGTAAATTTATTAGCATGTGAATTGTTGGATTTTGATCAGAGAAAAGGTTATCAAAAGATTTAACTGTGGTATTTTATAAATACAATTAACACTAACTTGTTATGAGTATACAACTTTATTCTAATTTTAAAAGACTATTAATTTGGGGGTTTCAAGGCAATAAAATATAAAACTAAATAGTTGCCAGGCATTGTAAGAATCATTTTAAATGCCCACCCCCGCCAGTGTATTTAAGCATTTAAAAATACGCAGGCTGTAGAAAGATCTGTCTAAATACAAATTAAACCATAAGATTTAAATTTTGGTGTATAGATAGATTTATATCTTTTTGAAAATGAGGTCAG